AGATAAATATTATATTATAGATTTGTAAGAAAATATTAAGAAGAAGAGATTGAAAGTGAGAAAATAATATATTTTGTAGATATACAACAAAAATTCTTACACTTTAATATACCTAAATTATACAATATTAAGATATATATATATATATATATATATATATATATATATAATTTTATTAAATATGAACATACAAACATGTCTTTTGAATTTATTTATTTATTTATTCTTCCACTTTTATAAAAAAAACTTTCTTTCATATATTTTTGCATTGTAAAAGAGAAAGAGAAAAGAAACAAAAAATTATTATATTAATGATAGTAAAATTTTATTATATTTTGGATTAAACCCAAGGATACTCCTATTTTAAAAAGGTTTTTCTATTTGACTCAATTTAAATTATAATGCTAGGTTTCATTATAATGATTTCATTTTTCTACGATTTACATTGGTAGGTGTGATTATTAAATTAGTTTAATTAACTTGATTTGTTTTAGAAAAAAAACTTTAAACCATGGAGCTTGAATAAGCATAATGATCTTTGTATAATTATCTATTGGATAAAAAAAAAACTAAATGTTATGATGAGTATATTAAAAATATTACAAAAATATCTTTCGAGATAAGAAAGAAGTAGTTGTAGAAGAAAAAAAAAACTTTAAACCAGAAATCTTGAATAAAATAAAATTTATAATGATCATTATATATCTATTGGATCACAAAAACTAAATGTAGTGATGAGTATATTAAAAATGCTGCCAAAAATTATTTGAGATAAGGAAAAAGTAATTTAAGAAGTAAGGAAATTAAAACACACAAAAATTGAATACAATAAGTATTATAATGATTATATAATTGTCTATTGGATTAACAAAAAATAAACATAATGATGATGAGTATATTAAACATATTACAAAACAGTTATTGAGATAAAAAAAAAAAAGTAGGGACAATTTATTTGATAAATGTATTACAATAATTTATTTTGAGTTTAAAGATAATAACTAAATGTCTATCTTGGAGATGGATTTTTTTTTTCACTTGATCTTCTTGTTGTGCTATTGATTGAATTGCTCATTTTGAATCTCCATCGATAAATATGAATTTTTTTTATAACCATCAAAAAATTTATCATACATAATATTTTTGGATTAAAAATATGAAAATTAAAGAATATTCTAGTAACATATTAGAATTAAAATAAAATTGGAAAAAAATATAAGATACATACCATATCTAGACATAAAATTTAGAAGCATACTCTTATAATGATGTCTCAATTGATTTTCAACCAATGCAACAACATAAGAAACAAAGAAAGAAGAAAAATATTTATGATTTGAGATATGGTAGATGAAGATGAGAGAACTGTTTTCCATCTTTGTATTTTTTTCACTTCTAACCATAACAATTATTCCTTCCGTTTCATAAAGAATGTCATTTTGGAACTAATTTTTTGTTTCAAAAAGAATGTTGGTTTATATTTTCAATGCGACTTTTGTAACTAATTTCTATATTTGTCGATTCTCCCAAACTATAAACTTTTGTATTTAAGTCATTATGATATAATTATGAGTATATTAAATAAGGATATGTTTGTATATTCAACTCATTTCTTAATATATGTGGAATGTGTCAAAATAACACTCTTTGTAAAACAGAGGGAGTATAGAATATTCCTACGAAATTCACGTCTTTTGATATATTTTTATTTTTCATTCTATATATTTACACTTACAGCGGGTTTAATTAATTTTAAAAAATGCTTTCATGAAGTTGTGGTTTTTTAGGGAAAAATTCCGAAAAACCTTCACATTTTTTTATTTGACGTTTAATGCCCATAAAAATACATCATTTAAATATGTTTGTTCTAAAAATACCTTATTTTTGAATAGTTGTGGAATTCAAACTCGCGACTTAACAGCCGTTAACATGCGTTACAGAATCATTTAACGACGTTAAGTTCTAACCCCACATGTTTAAATATATATATACAATCTGTTTACAAATCTTTATAAATAGATTGGCGTAGTCTAGTGGTAACTCGGGGATTATTCTACTTGTAGCACATCTGGTGGCCACCGATCGATTCCGCTGGAAATCAATCATCTCTAGTTAATTTTCTAATTTGTAAAAAAAAAGAAGGTTGTGTAAGAAAAATTGATTGAAGGTTATATTCCGTGGAAAGGCTTACTAGAGACATGATGATGGTTGAGCAATAGAGAATTCTTATGGCTTACACTTCTCAAAGGAAGAAACTCTTGTATAGATAAGGAGAAGAAAGAGGAAAAGGCAGCTGATATCTAATGATTTTGATAGTTTTAAAGCTTGTTTTGTTGTTAAATTCTTGCATATTCATAGCATTTTAGTTTGTTTAGGATTGCATTTGCATCAAGATTGTTGTTTTTAGGTGTTTATAGTGGAGGCATGAAGAGTGGAGCTAAAAGAGGAGTTTTGGACCATAAAAGAACCAAGAATTGATCAAGGGAGAAGAGGAGAAAAAACCAAGGGAGTTGCAGAACTAAAGAAAGACGAGAGGAAGAAAAGAGAATCATAGCGACTAATTGTAGCGGTGTATCTTGCTTGTTATGGACTTTCCTAAAGATGAAAACGTTACCAGAGTTCATTGCAGGCATTCACATGGACGTCTTTTCCTTGATACGTGTTACTTAAGTAGTCAAGATCCAAAAGGTAACCCGGGTCTGACTCGGTTTTTATGGGTTGACCCGGTTCGTTTCTCTCTTTTTTTTTATAGATACTCTAAAACTTATTAGAGAGTGACATTATGCTTGTTTTGAACCTCTCTTTTCCTTTTTTCGATTTTGTATGAACTAAAAGTATTTTTATGAAATCTAAACTTGTTTTCTTTTAACTTCTTATTTTTTCATTATCATTGTAGATTAGAGGTTTATTTTTCACGACAGACTTAATTGGTTACAACAGGTTTTCTGCGCCAGATTTTTTTTCTCCTACAGACTTATCTGAATATAGTTACGACAGATTTGTAATTCGTAGCAGATTTATTTCACACGACAGACTTATATTATGATGACACCACAGACTTTCGTAATTTTGACAAATTTATTTTAAATGTGTGACAGACTTATGTTTTCAGTGGCGTCAGACTTATATTTTCGATAAAAATCTGCCATAATGTAGCAAAGTTGTTAATAAAAAAGAGATAACTAGTTTGACTTATTAGTGATAACAGATTTATTTTATGTCATGACAGTTTTTTTTTTTTTTAACAAAAATTTGGAGAGTGATAGCAGATTTGTTATATAAAAATATAAATTGTTAGAATGACATATAGTCGCAACCGAATTGTTTTATGTTATCACAGATTTTTTTTATATTACGACAGATTTTTGTATGACAGCAGTTTTATTAATAAAAATAGAAATTGCTCGAATGACTTCTATAGTGATAGCAGATATGTTTTATGCAATGACATATTTAAATTTTAATTCCTATTATGACAGTTTTTTTGTTCTTATCTGATGGTTGATTTGTTTTAAACAATACTTATGTCGTAATATATGATTAACGGTTTTTGTTATAAAATGCATAATAAGGTAACCTAATTTATCAAAGTTTGATTACCAAGAATTCTTGCAATATATCCTTATGTTATGTTCCAGCAGAATTTTTGATTTTATACCACGCCTAATCCGAAGCCATTATATTGAAACCTAATCTAACCAATATATATCTTAAACGTTATTTTGATCAACTGTTTTCCATACCTAAAATTTGGTAACAGTATTCACACGAAACTTACATATCAAAAATTTCAGATGTTGATATGTTTTTTCAAAATGCCATTACTAGGAATTCGCCCGATATACACCTATATAACTGAGTGTAAGTTTTGATAAAAATTTACTAAACCAAAGTCAGTGAATAAACAAACACTAACGTATTAACTTCAGATTTGTTCTACCAATGTTCAAATTGGCTTGGCTTTACTTAACCAACTAAATTTAGTTGTGGCAACGATCTCTTACTGAAATCCTACATTCACTGGTCTATCTTTAAGCTTTTGTGTCGTAATCATCATGATTAGCTGCTTTGACAAGTTTAGCTTAGATCTTGGTCCCTTGAGTGTATTTTAATGGCCATTTCTTAGGATCTTTGATGGAATTGATTGATCTAAGTTAAATTTTATGAGTTTTACATGAATTTAGGAAAACAAATAATAATCCAACAGTTAAAACAAAATCCAACTAACTAGGGAAAATCTTTTCGGAGACAAGACCCAAGTGTCATTCTTTTCCCCCAACGAGTCAGGCTGTTGCACTTATAAGTTCTTGTAACATCATGAAATTCTTTCAAGATTCCGTCTTTCAACTTCTTTTAGCCCTCATCCTCTACCCAATGAGATCAAGTGCATAATCATAGTCAGGAACTTGACCACTTAATCCACAAAGATTGAAATCATCTTGAATATAATCTTCATCGACTTCACAAAAGAAATCATTCCCTCTCAAATTACAAAACCAAGAGATCCACGATGTATCATCACCCTCCGATCCACTCACATCAGACCCTTCACTATCAGTTTCCGATTCCATTGCAAAACCAATTCCATTACATCGCCATGAATGTGTTTTCTTGTTTGGAATAATTTCTTTTTGGCTTTTATTGTTAGTTTGGAGATATATGGATGTAAATGTTACCAAATAATCCCAAATACTATGAAATTTAAGAACAAATCACCAATAGAACTTTATTTATAATAACCATATAAGTCACTAAGATATCTCAAAAACCATATAGAACTTTAGCAGAAAAAAATCTCAAAATCCACCGAAATCTAAAATCCACCTTTTGAATCAAAATGTTCGATTCAATACATCCTAAATGATAAGTACTTTCATATTTAAATTAAGTGGAATTGAACACTCAACCTTAACAATTTTAAGGGAGGATCAATTACCAAATCATCTAAATGGACAACATAAACATGGATGGCAGATTTAGGAAGTAACTAGGAGGGCTCGTGCCCCATAAATTATTTTATTACTCGATAACGATAATTACACAATTATGTAGGCTTGAAACTCATGTCACATACTAAATTACTTTATTATAAGGTTTTTCTTATAAATATAATTCAAGATTTATTGTATTTAAAACCAATTAACAAAAATGACCGCATAAACACTTCTTTCCTCCTTGGGGAGTAGGCACACAAGTAGAACCTCCTTTTGGATACTTCTTTATACATCTAGGCGAACACTCATTGCGACGAGTACTACAAAGGTCTTTACCCTTAATTTCTTCCCAACACTGTCTTTTTCCTTGATTCACATCCCCCACCACTCCTGTCATATGTTTCAAATATAACATTTTAGTTTTTGTACTTAACATATATGTGTGTGTATATATATATATATATATATGTATTAATTATTCCGCTTATTGAGAAGACAAATGTTTCGAAGAGTTAACTATATTAATATCAATTGAAAATATTATATAAATTTTCATAGAATATAAAATCTAATTTTAAAAAAATTTCATAACATCAGATATAAAAGGGCAAGTAAAGTCAGAAATAAAAACAGAACTTTAATATTTATGAAAATAAAATATTTTTCGATACATTAATCTATGCAACATGAAAACAAAAGTACTATTTTTTTAAGAAAATAAAAATAAAGTAAAATTTATTTAACCAATTCACGTCATAATAATTCTTCATAATATGTAAGACCATATAACTTTATAAATCAGGGAGTTCCAAAAATATATATCGGAATCGGTAATTTGCTGTATAGATATAAGTAAAGTATGTATTTGACATTAAAAAAAGAAGACTAAATTGATATTATGGCATTATATACTAAACAAAACAAATCGAAACATAGCTATTTACATATATCAAAGGTGAGTTGGTATTTTACAGAATTAATATCTAATTAAAAAATTTGTTAACTGATTTTTGATAAATTAGATTCTCAAGCAATAATTATATGTAATATATGAAAAACATACTAAAAATGTAAATACAACCTAATACAAGAATAGTAAATATAATCAGAATGATGAGCGAGAGTTGAAAACTTTTCTTCATCCTAAATGATAAAAATGATTTTATAGTGTTTCGAAAAATTGAAAAGAAAGCACAAAGTGTAGTTAGATGTTTTAAAGAAAGAAGAACAATGTGTAGTTATATTTATAAAAAAAAATTAGATGTATCTTCTAATTAGACATATCTAATTTAAGCTATGTACCATTTTAAATTCGAAATAAAAGGATCTAGTTTTACCAAGTTCCAGATGTTTTGCTTCTATGATATGTAAAAGCTTTACCATATTTTTCTCCCAAAATTTAATGAAACAATGAAAATTCAAAAAAAAACAAAATAAATTACTAATTTAGACTATCTATGGAAATCATTTGTAAGGCCCATATCACCACATTCTTATGGCCACATGCTCTCTTTTGGTCTATAGATTCCAGCCTTTTCCGACGGTCAATGTACTACTCCGACTAAACTAATAGCGAGGAATGAGACATATTTCCGAAATTATTCGGGTATAAAAAAAATATCTTTCATATCTCTATTTGTTGCACTTATATTGAGCTAATAAAGAAATAAAAAAATAAAGGCATCAATGAATCTTGGTGCAAAAAATATCTGCAAACGAATGTTTACGAATTTAGACAACAATGCTCAAAACATACTGGTAAAGACCGTAGGCAAAGTTTAGAGGTCGCTGGTTCGAGTGACCCTTGAGACGAAACTAATATTACATGATGTGGTTTCGGACCTGGGAGAATTACAGCCTTTGGTCCAGAACCTCCTTGTTTTCAAAAAAAAAAAAAAAATGCTCAAAACATAAGCTGTTTCATTTAAGATATTCACAAATTAGTTGCCAAAAGAGAGTGTACATTAGCCATATAAACACTACCAAAGCACCATGGAATTATTATTATTATTATTTCGTTTGCTCTTTTTATACATTAAATAGTTGTTTTGTTGCAACTATGAATGGTTTTTGGATTCAGGCCTGTTTTAAAATTTTTATTTGATCGTTTAGCATCACATCAGATCCTCTTATATGTCTCGTGCACAATCTCAAGTTCCTAGAGTCTCCTTGTGATTGAAGATTTGCTTAATGGGCATCCTATGTCAACTTCATTTTTCTTTTAAAATATTAAAAAGGTTAGTTTGTTTTGTCCTCAAAATGAAACTCATAAATTTCTACTATATATGTTTGTGTGCATTGATTAAGAATCTCTGTACAGTTCTCTTAGACTCTTTTTTTTTTGGATAAACAGTTCTCTTAGACTCTTTTTTTTTTTTGGATAAACAGTTCTCTTAGACTCTTAAAAATACATTTTCACTAAGTTTTTAAGAGTTCCTAGTAATATAAAACAATATGATGACAAGAAAAATTATGGATCTTAAATTTCATAATTCTCTTGATCTAGAACAAATCTTTGCAAGTGTTCATCTAATGTACACTTAAAAGACGATATCAATCTCAATTTCTTTTGGGTAAGGAAAATAATTTCCAACATATGTCAGTATGATAGAATTTTATTCAAATGAAAAAGGAGTTACTCAATTTCACCAGTTTGTAAGCAAACTCAAATTTTTTATTGGAGTTATAGTCCCATTAGATACATTTTAATTAAGATGTTATGAAACTTGATCACAATCATAAGAATATATATACACTAGATAGTCAAATTTTACCCTCTTATTTTTGCAAATAAAATAAAATATGGAGAAATTGTAAATAAGTTGGTTCAACAATCATATGTGTTTTTTTAAAATAATATAAATTTCAAGCATATTGTAACAAATATATTATTTTACCTTAGTCACACAGTATTTTACATGATAGCGTACTACATGTTTCATCACCCACAAAAAAAAAGACACCGTATTATTACTGTATTTGTTCTCACTTTAATATAAATGAAGAAAGTGAATGAAATAGAGTGCAAAAGATTAACTATTGTATAATCTGATTTTGAAAGAAATTATAAATTTACACAAACTAGGGGCCGATTGGTAAGGGCTGTTAGTTTTGGTTGTAAAGACTTTGGCTAAAAATTTTTCTGGTCATCTGATAAATTCTACAAAAAATTATTTTATTATAACTCGATAACGATAATTACACAATTATGTAGGCGTGAAACCCATGTCAGATACTAAATTGTTTTCTTGTAAGGTTTTTTTTTATAAATATAATTGAAGATTTATTGTAAATAACACAAATTAACAAGGATAACCGCATAAACACTTCTTTCCTCCTTGGGGAGTAGGCACGCAAGTAGAGCCTCCTTTTGGATGCTTCTTTATACACATAGACAAACACTCATTGCGAAATAAATTACAAAGGTCTTTACCCTTAATTTCTTCCCAACATTTTCTTTTTCTTTGATTCACATCTCCCACCACTCCTGTCATATGTTTCAAATATAATATTTTAGTTTCTGTACTTAATATATATGTGTGTATATATATTAATCCGCTTATTGAGAAGACAAATGTTTTGAAGAGTTAACTGTATTAATATCAATTGAAAATATTATATATATTTTCATAGAATATTAAATAAACAAAATTTCATAACATTAGATATAAAAGCGTAAGTAAAGTCAGATATAACAACAAAACCTAAATATTTATGTAAATGAAATATTTTTCGATACATGAATCTATGCAACATGAAAAAAAAAGTACTATTGTTTAGGAAATATAAACATAAAGTAAAATCTATTTAACCAATTCACGTCATAATAATTCTTCATAATATGTAAGACTATATAACTTTATAAATCAGGGAGTTCCAAAAAGATATCTGGCAATCGGTTGCTGTATAGATTTATAACTAAAGTATGTATTTGACATTAAAAAAAGAGAGAGGCTAAATTGATATTGTGGCATTATATACTAAACAAAACAAATTGAAACCTAGCTCTTTACATATATAAAAGGTGAGTTGGTATTTTATAGAATTAATATCCAATTAAAAAGATTTTGCTAACTGATTTTTGATAAACTAGATTCTCAAGCAACAATTATATGTAATATATGGAAAAAATACTATAAATATAAATACAAACCTAAAACAAGAATAGTAAAAATAACCAGAATGGTGAACGAGAGTTGAAAACTTTTCTTCATCCTAAATGATAGAAATGATTTTATAGTCTTTCGAAAAATTGAAAAGAAAGAACAAAGTGCAGTTAGATGTTTAAAAAAGAAGAAGAACAAAGTGTAGTTATATTTATAAAAACATTTAGATGTATCTTCTAAGACATATCTAATTTAAGCTATGTACCATTTTAAATTCCGAAATAAAAGGATCTAGTTTTACCAAGTTCTAGATGTTTTGCTTATATAATATGTAAACGCTTTCTACTCCCCATTTTTTTCCTCCTTTATCATATTTTTCTTCCAAAATTTAACTGAAACATGAAAGTCACATAAAAAAAACAAAATATATTACTAATTTAGAGTTTTAGACTATCTATAGAAATTATTTGTAAGGCCTATATCACCACATTCTTATGGCCACATGCTCTCTTTTGGTCTATAGGCTTCACTCTTCAGCCTTGTCCGACGGTGAATGTGCTACATTGGAATGAAATAAATAGTTGTTTAATAAACCTATAACTTAACATGTGTACTACTCCAACTACACTAATAAAGAGGAATCAACTAAATTTATCTGTTTTGTCTTCCGCAAAAGAGATTATAAACATATTTCCGAAATTCTTCGGGTATGAAAAAAAGTCTATTTAATCTCTCTATTTTTGGCACTTATATTGAGCTAATAAAGGCATCAATGAATCTTGGTGCAAAAAATATCTCCAAACGAAGGTTTACGAATTTAGACAACAATGCTTAAAATATAAGCTGTTTCATTTAAGATATTCACAAATTGGCTGCCAAAATTAGTCATACAAACAATACCAAAGCACCCTGGAATTATTATGACTCCGTATTATTTTGTTTGCTCTTTTGATACATTAAATAGTTGTTTTGTTACAACTATGAATGGTTTTTGGATTCAGGAATGTTTTTCAATTTTTATTTGATCTTCTAGCATCACATCAGATCCTAAAAATATGTGTTGTTGTTCACATTCTCAAGTTCCTAGAGTTTCCTTGTGATTGAAGATTTGCTTAATGGGCACCCTATGCCAACTTCATTTTTCTTTTATATATTAAAAAGGTTAGTTTGTTTTGTCCTCAAATTGAAACATGGATCTCTTGTACTAATTTTATCAACATGATTTAACTCATAAATTTCTACTATATATTTTTGCGTGCATAGATAGACAATCTATGCACATTTCTCTTATATTCTTAAAAATACATTGTAACCAAGTTATTAAGAGATTCTAGTAAAATAAATCAATTTTTTTTTAGTAGGAAGTAAAATAAAACAATTTGAAAAGACAAATTCTGGATCTTAAATTTCATATTTCTCTTGATCTGGAACAAATCTTTGCTAAGTGGATATCAATCTCAATTTCTTTTGGGTAAGAAAAATATTTTCCAACATATATTTGAATTTTATTCAAATGAAAAAGAGGTGCTCAATTTTACCAGTTTGTAAGCAAACTCAAATTTCTTATTGGTGATATAATCCCTTTAGATACATTTTAATTAAGATGTTATGAAACTTGATCACTGAATGATGAGAATATATACACTGGATAGCCGAATTTTACCCTCTATTTTTTTGCAAATAAAATAAAATATGGAGAAATTGTAAATAAGTTGGTTCAACTATCATATGTGTTTTTTTAATAACATAAAATTTCAAGCATATTGTAACAAATATATTATTTTACCTTATAGCGTATACTACATGTTTCATCACACACATAAAAAGACACCGTATTATTACTGTATTTGTTCTCACTTTAATATAAATGAAGAGAGTGAATGAAATAGAGTGCAAAAGATTAAATATTGTATAATATGATTTTGAAAGATATTATACATTTGCACAAACTAGATCCAATAACTTAAGAAAAAGGGATGGAAACATAGGAGAAGCATGGCATATGCAATAAAAATGGTGGTCACAATATAATCATTTGGCTAAGCACATGAATGCTCATCATTTGGTCTTTCTTTGCTTATATACTTAACAACACCAAACGCCAAACACAATGTAGAGTAATCTAACTTATCTTTCACTTTCGGCATCATAAATTTGTGATGGTTTCAATAATATAAGTAATTATTATCTTACATACAATTTTTTTTACAACAATCATTATATACATTACTCTTTTTTTGGCTAAATACATTACTTTGTTTTTTAGCTAAATATATACATTACTTGGTTACATTATATAGCGTCATTATCACTCTTATACAAAATTCGTGGAAGTGCGGTTAGGTAAGCTCGTGGTTTGCTTACCAGTTTGTTTACATGTAATACTAGTGTAATTAGTCTTTTCTCTTTCCCTAGGTCGAGTTAGATATATTAATTTACTTTGTTATGTTTGGCTACATATATCAACATATATTAATGAATGAATTAATAATAAAGTTATGATCTCTATTCATATACTTCTGCATACACTACAGGAAAAATGATTATCCTTAGCGTCCAAAAAACGCTATTTAACGGGATGATAGTGAAGTAGAAAACGCTATATCTTCGCCCATGATTATAGGTCGATGGTGTATGATAGCGGTTTTCAGTAGTGCTATATATTGTCAATATACAATAGCGGTTTTCGTGTGCAATATTATATGATTTAATAACAACTATATTTTGTTATTAATTATCTAATTACAACGTTTAATTACTCTTATTTTTAATATTTTAATAGCAGGTTAAGCACGCAATATATTCAAATGAAATAGCATTTGTGTTATGCAATTAATTGAATTAAAAATAGCATTTTTAATTTTAATTCCAATAATCAATTCATAATAAATAGAAAACCAAATCATTTTATTGATATAAAATTTTAACATAAAAATTCAATGAAACAAGAACAAACCATCTCAAAGGAAAAACAAAATACAAAGCAAGCAAGATCGGATTCTTGATATGAGCCTACTTAATATTCTTCTTAGGCTTCTACTACAAATGAGATAACAAAAAACTCATGGTTGTTATGATTTTCCACACTCTTGGACCTCTAATCTTCGAAACTTTTTTGATATCATCAACATATTTGTGGATGTCGGATTCACACACTCAAGTATTTTTATTAAGTAGGAAAGATTACTCTTGAGGGACAAAAATAAATATGCAAAAAGCTTATGAATTGCTACAAATATTGCTATAGTATTTCTTACTTGAGAGGAAGATCCCCTTTACATGGCCATTGGCCTTTATATTTATACATAGAAAAATGACATTTAATTGGCTAATTAAGTACAATTATTCTCTCTTAAATGTGACCGTTTTGGTCTTTGACTTTAATGCTCAACATTCGAATTTGTGTTGACTCCGATCTTCATGGGCCTCGCCTTTTGGCCCAAATGTCCTTGGACCAACTTAACCGTGACTTCGTCTCCGGAATTGTGTCGAAGTGCAGTCACTTCGGATTCTCCTTATGGTGATAACCACTTCGAATGTTCCTTTGACTTGCGGGTCTAACGGGCTTTATCCCTTATAGGCCGTTAACCCAACTACGTGGCAATCTTTGGTTGGTCCCGAACCTCTGGTGCGGAATCCGACACCAACAATTAGCCCCCCAAGTTCTTCGAAGTGCCATTCCAATTCGGAGGACTTTAAATGCTTTAATGACCAAAGATTGCGTTCTGAGGAATCTTCTGATTTTCCCGCCAAGATCCCATCAGTCCTTTAATTTCGGCGCTATCCATGTTTAGTCGCGTGACATCTGTCACCATTATGATCGTATCTTAATTATTTACTATTAAAGCGGGAAACCTTTCCACTTCCCCCACGATTCCCAAGGCGGTTTAACCATTATCACTTAGCTTTCGTGAGGTAACTTCTTTCATCATCACTTTTTTACTCTTACGCTTTAATCGAAACTTCTCTCTTCTCTTTCTTCGCCGATTTTCTCTTTGCCGGATTTTAAATTTCTCATATTCTCCGATGACTTCTGATTCCGAAAGACCCGAGTCTCCATCCTTTGAAGGCGGCTCTAGTAATGACGAATGCACTCGTCCTAACGACATAGCTGGTCCGCACTACAGATCCACCTGTACCCTTCAATCCCTAGAGCGATTAAAAGGGCTTGGCCAGATTCCCCCTGGAATCATAGCGGAAGCGCAGATAGCCGACCCTGCAGAGTCCTCGGAAAATCACCGCGACGGCTACTTTTGTGTTTATGAAATCTACTTCAAGGGCTGCGGATTGACCTTCCCCCTTCCCGAAGCCCTGGTTCGATACTTGGCGGCTCTTGAGATCGCTTTACCTCAGCTAACCCCCAATCTTCTCCGAACCATCCTCGGGATCATAACCGTTGCGGCGGAAGCAGACTACATTATTGGGGTCCCCGAGCTGAACGAACTTCTAAGCGTGAGAAGTTCGTCAAAGAAAACAGGGTACTTCTCGGCGTATCCGAATGCCAACAGGAACGTCATCTCGCACCTCCCAAACAAGGATGAAAACTGGCACCATCCTTGGTTCCTGATTAAGAAAACTCCTACTTCGATTGGAAATCTTTCCAATGTACTCCCATCGAAGTGGACTGCGAAGCCTGGTAGAAACTAGGTCGTATATTCCTTTCCTGGTTGTTTTATTTTTTACTGACCAAACTCGTTGTTTCACCTCGCAGCTGTCATCGCTTCGACTCTTCCGACCGAAGAATTCGTCAAGTTCTTCAAAACAATCCTTGAAGGGGAAACCCTTTGGAATTCTTTCACCCTCGATCGGTTCGTTGAAGCCAATCGAAAACTCAGGATGAGTCCCCCCAATCAACTTCATCGTCTTCCGCTTCCTCCCTCAACTCAGGGAATGTCAGCTCGGGCCCTCACTACCCAGCGTAAGAAACTCTCCAAGCCGATAGCAGAGGCTTGTGACAAAAACAAGGCGTTCCTTGCGGCCGCCATTGACAAAAAAGACTACAGCAGGACCCTGCTGGTTGATGACAACAGCACCGAGGGAGCCAGATCCGTCGCTGCTTTCAGATTAACTCCTCGTCGCGAACGTCGTGACGAACGTTCTCCTCGGAGGGACCGATCTCCTCGTCGTGATTCTCCTCGTCCTCCCCGAGATGATTTTAGCAATGAACCACTTAAGAACTTGGTTCGCAGGAAGAGAGACAAGTCATCTCGTAGTGATTCCTCTCCGCGAAGGGAGAAGTCAAGGGCCCGGACTGACCGTTCACCACGATCATCCTCTCCCACTGAACCAATGGGTCCTCCTCGACCTGTTGATATGTCTTCCTCTTCCCAGTCAAAT